CGCCCCGCCGTCTTGCGGAGTTGGGGTGTCCACACAAGCTTGCATATAGCGAAAGAAGAAAAAATGGTCGTGGAATTATTACTGTCAGAAAATACGCGGGCAAAAGGTGGAAACGGAGCTCACGGAGCGAACAATAAGCTATAGCCTGTCGCAGCGTGCCGCGGGATTACGCAGTCGAGAAACAGGTTCTGGTTCTGGCCTTGCAGGGCCCTCTCCGACACGCCCCGCCATCTTTCCGCAAATAATAATGCAATTCGTCGAGTTGAGGGAGTCGGCCGCCCGGCCGCCGCCGAGCCGAGCCGCGCGCGGAAACGGCTTCTCGGCTTTGGCATCGGGCGCTGTTTGCTGAGTGCTTAGCTTAGGCAAGCCTCGGCCGACTGGAGTTTGGAGCAAGAGCAAACCTCATCAGTAAACCGCGTCGTCAGGGTCACCGGGGGCCCCCCCAGCGGGCCCGTGTCAAGGCGGCATGGGGCGCCTCCATCTGCGTATGGCTCTGCGTCGCCGACCGCGCCAAAAATGGCACGGCAGAGCTTCGGCCGCAGATAATTAGTCGCTGCAACACAGCGACACCGCGACACCAATTGCGGGGCACAAGCATGGGAGGCAGCACCTCGTGTCAGTCAGCAAGGCAGGGCGCGAAGGGAGCCGGGACGGGGCACGGGTTGCGACACCAGAGGGGACGGTGGGGCTGCGGGTCCGCGGGGCTCGGGCGGCGGCGGCACCTTGTTGGAGGACTCCGGCTCGGCCATCGCTCGCGACCAATACTTCAAGGAGGCGACCAAAAAAAAACACACAAAAACAACGCCAACAACAACAGCGGTCGGTCCTATACGTCGCGTGAGGCGGCGGGATCTGTCTGGACGCCGACCGACGCCGACACGTCGGGGTGAGCTGAGCAGGGCGTCGCCCCGCCCCGCTAAACTAAGAAGCGCTGGAGTGGGTCAAGGTCGGGCCCATCGCCCGCTCATTGCGATGCACGGGCCGGAGCTGCTGCAAGAGGCCGTGCAGCGCCGTGCGGCCGGGGGTGCACCGGTGCACGGAGAGACCGTCGCGGCGCACCTGCCGGCTGCCGGCGCCGGCGCTGAGCGGGGCGGGGCACCCGTGACTCATGATTGCCAGTAACACAGGCGCCTCCTCTGCTCCGTTCCTGCAGCTGGTGCGGGGGCGCTGCGCCACCCCTCCCGCCGCGCCGCAGCGGATCGAGAAGGTGATCAACGAGTGCCAGGAGGACATCAAGCTGTCGATCCTCGAGGGTATGAAAAGTGGTGGTGATGGTATGGTGGCGGCGGTGGTTACATCTATCTCAACAGACGCTCATGGGTGAACGACATAGCTACCTGGTTGATCCTGCCAGTCGGTATCATATGCTTGTCTCTTCACTTCTCTACATGCTTGACTTCACTTTTGACTAATTTCTGACCCACCTTCCATACTTGGAAGGCCACGGGATATGCAATCCACCACCTGCTGCAATACCATATATTCTTCGAGGAGGCTTCATGTGCACATCCGTTTATCCTGCAGAGGCGCTGAGCGTGCTGGGCGAGTCCACCGGCATCATCTCCAGGGACGCCAAGACCCGGCAGCCCGGCAAGAGCAGGGCTCGCCGGCAGGCCTTCACCGAGGACGAGAGACGCATCGCCGGGGTGAGTCCCCCCGGAGGGCCTTCCCTCCCCCTCCCCTTCATGTCGTGCCCCTTGAGCAGTCCCCGAATGACACGAACTTTTTTATATGTTGCAGTGTCTGCTTCACTGTGTGTACAAGAAGGTGAAAGCGGTGAGTACGTGAGGCGAGGGAGTCGTCATCTGAGCCTCGAAGGACAGCGACTCGCGCGGCTAGTAGTGAGGTCGTATCGTGTAGTGTAGGCCGGGCGGGCGGTAGTCAACTGCGCCGCCGCGCCGGTCAAGCGTCTTTTCTCAACATGAAAGATGGTTTCACACCGACGTTTAAAGTCAAAGTTTTCGACCAAAAATATTGATGACGACGTGAATGTGATCTGTAATCTCACCATGTTCCTTTTGTTTCATTGGGCTTCCTATACATCACCATATTATTTTTGCATGTTCCTTTGTTACCTCCGCGCACAGCTGAACTCCGCCGGGCTGCCCACGGGCGAAGGACTGGTCAAGCTTTACGCCGAGGGCGTGCAGGACGCGAGCTACTTCCTGGCGACGGCGCAGGCCGTCAACCACTGCCTGGGAGCCGCGCAACAGCAGGGGAGGCTCCTGCCCCAGGCCGTCAAGGGTGAGGAACGAGCTGCTGGAACCTGTGAGCCTGTGCCTGCCAGTTGGCAAACTCAGTTGCATGTGGGGGGTGCGGGAGGTTCGTGTGCTCTGGGGACTGCAACTAGTCAAACTGGTTGGGTGCTGTTGTGTGCTGAGATGAGGATCTGAGAGTGAAAGAACGCCCGGCATAGCCGCGGCAGTATTCTCCCCGGCCTCGTTCTGCTGAATATGGTTTATGGTTGTGCAGTGCAGAACCTATTGGTTCTGGGTTTCGCGATCCCGATGACAAACACGGATGTGGTCACTTTTTCGGGGGTCCCTCGAAGTCTTGCACAATCTTGGCGCAAGAAGGCAGAGCACACACTTACATCCGAGAAGTCATTCCCAACATCTACCGTACAAGTTTCTTGTTTTTTGCAGAGCCTGGACAAAAATGCTACCTTGCATACGACCTGTTTGAATGTGTCAGCGACCAAATCATAGAGGTAAGTTCACGATGCAATAATTATGAGTAATGTTAGCTCCACATTTTAAAAAATACTTTTTGAATTTTTCAAATTGTATTTTTATTGGAATGTAAAGTTTTTCTTATCCTCCTTGCAGTATTGCGGTGCCTCACCTTAATGCTTCCTAAATTCGATCATTCATCTGCCACCGATCATTCTCAATCATCAATCATCTTCCCCATTTCACCAAATAGTATTTAGTTAACGTGTGATCATGACCATCATACTGTTCCTAATGGTTTAAAAAGAGAAGTGTGCTTGCCTCCACAATAATTCTTAAGATACAAATAATTGTAATGAACTGAAGAAACTGAACTGGCTTCTAAACCATCTCTATTAATTAAGAATGTCACCTAGTCACAAATGAAATTGTTGTACAATAAAATTTAAATCAAAACAAAGTAAAAGAATTGTGGTGAATCACAATAATTAACTTTAAAGTTGTGTTCCTTTACCAAAGTATACTTAACCCAAAATCTTTCAGTTTTCATTTGCTTCTTGGTAGAAAAACTGTGGTTGAAGCTGAAGCCATAAATAATTCATGGTTGCAAAACATAAAATAAAATAGGTTTCAGATTAACAGATTTATTTTATCTGTCTCATTGCTCAAAATTAGCTTAACAAGAACACTTAATGAATGATTGACCAATATATCCAATAGTAACTGGACTGGAATGTCCCTTACATCAATAATGCTCTAAGATATAAGGTCTGCTTCAGTACAAGGCATTATAAAATGACCAATTTGAAACTAATTCAACAAATGACATCAAAGGAAAACAAATCAATAAAATATGCTACCTAAAAAAACATATATGTAACAAAACATAAAAATGTTCAGTCATGTTTATGGTGCTGATAAAGTCAGTATTCAAACCAAACTGAAGGTGCCATTGATAAGATACATCGCGACCACATGATGCGGAATGGCCTAGAAAAGCAAAAAGCATTTAATGTAAAGTCAATGTGTACGGAGGATAAATCACCTACAATCGACCTAAATACATGCTTCTGAATAATACTTAAATACGACTATGTTTTATATTGTGATGTATTATCTATAACTCCATAAATGTAGAGCACTCTTGCTTGTGTACAATTTATATTCAATCTCATGCAATCTTTTGGCTATTCATGCCATAAGTATTGGCCAGAAATTTGTTCTAAAAAAAAAAAAAACATAAGTTAAGTACTACTATAATCAGTTTAGGCATTTCTATAATCATAATGAGTGGTAAAGTTAACCTTATGCATGACTAGAAAAGCCTCAAGTTAAATATTACAAGAAAAACAATTTAATAGGTTGAAAAATATATTCAGGGTGTAAGACTGATTCTGATATAAGGGTCTCATTGCCTCACTCAACAAAGGAAGAACCCCTAATAAAAATAATGTAGTGGTCACACATCTAAGAGTATATCCTACGCCGCTTCCTGCTTAATTCCTTTCAATCTTTTTGAAATTCAGTAAACATACAGGTTTGATTGAAAGGGTAGGAAAAGGGGGTGACCTTTTGGACAGCAATATTTCTTTAAGGAGCAATTAAAGCCCTGCATAATATATGTTTTAATAACATTGTCATAAGTAATTGATTCTGTAAAGCTGGACAGCAACGATATCACAAAATGGGTTTCAAAAGCACATTATGGACTCCACCAGTGCAAATCCAGGCAATAAAAAACATTACTTCACTATGAATAACCTTCAATAATACGTATATAATTTAAATAAAACAAAACAAAACATGGCAACTTTGATGACTTTACCACCGAAAACATCACTTAAGTGATCTGGATAGACATCCACAATAAATCAGTATCGTATGAAAAAAAAACAAAATTCTTGTTCAAGACAGAGATTTAAAATTTTCAGTCCTTTATGGATCAAGCAAAGATCCTAACAAATCCTTCACAGACCAACCCAAAAACATTCAGGGGTCAACCAACACTGATAAAACTGCTTCAGTTAGATGAAGAGGCCTAACACTAATATCTTTAAAGTTCAAAGAAAGGCCATGAGAAGGGTCTTAATCATAAAACAGGACTTTCACACAGCATAAGTAGCCATAGAGGGATGGGAACATACAGAGGTAATAATTCTCTAATATACAAATGAGCTTAAAGGAAGTTCGTAGAAGCAGCAGCACGGCATCACCAAGCTTGCATACTACTTGTCAGATCTGGGGTACGCAATAGAACTCGTAGCAGGGAGAGGGGAAAACATTTAAGCAGTAGTTATTCTAGAGTAATAACCATTTGCCCTGATGGCGAAGACAGAAGAGTGAACTTAAAAGAAATGATGGTACAAGGCCACACTGGATTTGCATGCACAAACCTTTGAAAATGGCAATGGAATTATAAATAATAACATTAACACAATGAAGGTAAAAATATAAATATAGCAATATTCCATTTTGATGATGACTATTTACAATAAAAAAATGGAGTAAAGAAAGGAAGAAAGAAATAAAAACATCCGATACAGTTTCATATTTCTAGAGTACAACTAAGACAAAATAAAAGTCATACCATACTTCAAAAATACCTTATGCTGGACCCTGTCAACAGTACATTTATCATAAAGTCTTCTCATAAATTTCACCTTAAAAACAATATGAGCCAACTAACTTCATGATATAAAATTAACATAATTTACATTTGTAAAATCTTATTAAAATTGTCGGACTGCAATTTGGGCACCTATTGAATATTTAAATTTTCTACTTCAAATTTTGCAGTTAAATATCACATTCAGGACTCATGTGAAGCAAACATAAGTCAATTGTGAACTTGAAAGCTGTATAATGACAATGTATGACAGAGAGGATATTAGTCAGAACTACTTCATTAAACTTCAGAGCAACAATAACAATATAAATATTCATATTTTTAACATTAACAGCCATTAACAAAGGAGTTGATCGTACTTCACACTGAGGTGTTTACCTGACCATATGATGAATGAATTGCTTCTGTTGAGTTTGTAATCCCAAACACTGGACCAATACGAAGGAAGAAGCGTCGTAGAACCGACCGCAGTTCTGGCTTCAGATCAAAACACATTATTTCACAAAGTAGAGGATAATAACTTGAAGCATGGGCAGCAAACTGAAACATTTCAAACATAATATGTTTTAAGCAAAACTCCTAAACATACCACAGTGAAAGAACTGCAGATGGAAAACAAGACCTCACCCGTTCATCAGTCATTTTAAAAATTCTGTTCAGCACAAGAAGCAACAAACACGTCCACGCATCTCTATGAGATTCTGATTGAAGGCACAGGAAGTACTCCAGAGCTTCTCTGCATACTTCAATCAATCTTTCCTGAATTTGAGGCCATGCCTCTCGACGATTCTCATCTGAATACATCTTAAAAAGAATGCGAAGAACACAGGCCAATGACTGAGTTTCTTGCTTCAGTAAATTTGGTTTCACACTCCCCTTGAATCCTAAAACAAATACAAAAGATTAGCAATTGAAAAAAAAATAACAAAAAACAATAAAAAATTCTAACTAACAAGAGGAACAAACCTGCTTTCCAAAGTAAATTTCGTTGTTCATGATTAGAATTGAATGCTTTCGCAAAACGATGAGACTGAAGTAAGCAATCAGTCAAAAGTAGAAGATGCTTTGAACTTAAATGACAATACATTCCCAATTCTTCTGTTTGCTCAGAGACGATACTTGATGACAAGGGAGCTTCAGAGTGCATTAAGTCAGCCTGTATCATCACAAATTTGCATTAGAATACAAGAATTACAGGTAAAATGATGAGATTTCAAAACCAGAGCAAAATGGACTTATATAATTCCACAATTCTCTCTGTTTTTTTTCAACAAACCTGTGCAAGAGCAAGATTTTCTTGATCTTCTTTTCGAGATGTAGACGGGTAGAAGACAATGTTGTCAATTGTCTGAATTAACTCAAGTTGCACAATACACTTAATGAGAAGGCCAGAAAACAGCTTGTTTTCTGGTGAGGAAACCTGCTAAAAATAAACAAGGCTAATTATTAGTTCATTTTTGTTAAGGAAATGTGTGCGTCAAGAAATAACAGTTTTCTCACCCTATTTGCTTTGTCTTCGGGGGAATTGCTGCTAACACTTATTTCGCTGTGAGTACTGTTAGAACGCTTCAGTATGCCAGTCTGCTTTTGATTTGCTAGTGCTGCAACAGCCCCATCATACTGCGATGAATCATTAGGTGACATTATTATGTCCAAATCACTTTCTTTGCCAATTGTCTCTGGAGGTTTCCATGTCAAAAGGGCATTGGGTATAGTAGCAGTGAAAATGTCAACCATGCATTGACATGTTTTGTCCCAAGTTTCTTCATTAAACTTTAGTCCATTAGATATGACCAAATTTTCAAGACAATTTGTTCCTGACCTTGCAAGTTGTTCATTGTCTGCAGAGCGTAAATAAAAAGGTTTAGAAATTACAGAGGGAAATATGTCTTTAAAGGCAATGTTCATCATAGTCTTATGTTTTTAGACAACACTTACCCTGCTGCACACACCAATGTAATTGAGAATAGAGGTCTCCAAGTAGTAAGGGCCCAAGAGTGTCAAAATACTGAGTAAAGACATCAATAATAGCATACAATGCATGATTGCACGTTGTGGTCATCCACTCGGCTTTCTGTAGGAGAAGAGCAGAAAATGTTTATAAAAATTAGTGACTGATACAATTAAATACTAATGAGATACTATACCCTCCCTTACAGAGACAAAATTGTAAGTTACATGAAAGTAACACAGAATGTAAAGGTCATAGATAATTTAATTGATAGCAGTTAAGATAGATCATTCACTAAAGTCCTATACAAGGAAGCTGTATCAAAGAGGCTTAGAGGGTACACAGATAATTTGTTTAAAAGAAGTAAAGCATAGACAAACAGGCAAAACCACAAGTTTTGATGCTACAAACTACACTAACCTCAAGATTAGCAGCAAGCTCTGCACTGGGCTGTGAGGAAGGCAAGAGGGTATGAGTGAAGCAGGCCACAGAACATAAAAAACTACAAAACGGTCACTTAGGGTTTAAAAAAAAAAAATCAATTAGGACAGGTAATAGTAGTGCTTATTGATAAATTGATATAGGTAAAACTGATTCCGGAATTAAGCAGGAGGAGAGGATTAAGAGCGAAATCCAGCTTTGTACGATTAATTACACAGAAGGCTGGAAAATACAAGACTTGCATTTCATGGGAAGGTAAGAGCATCTACAAGCGCACACAATAACACTATCTATAAGTTCACACAGAATTTTTTTTATACGTATTTTGTCAGACTCTACTTTATTTTAGCTACTGTGCAACTCTCAATTCTAACCTTACTTACCTCAGTATGTTGTTCAGGCAACTTCATATTATCAAATATTCGGAACAGAACTTGAAAGAGGTCCTTCCACCAATGTGGTTTAAACGCATCGCCATGTGTTTTGACAATCTCAAACAACACTGTAAGACCTCTGGTTCGAACATCTAGTTTACAACGGCTTACAACACAAGATAGTTCAAACAAAAGAGGGAACCAGCCTCTAACCCATACTCTATCCTCTTCTGGTACTGTGTTATCCTCCATTGTATGTTCACAAAATAGCTAAAAAAAAAAAGAGAAAATACATATACATTACCATAATTGATTCTGCCCTAGATGTTAGTTGGATAGGAGAAAAGCATTAACTAAGAATCAGTACCTGAGGCTTTTCATCCACATAAATTGCACATGTTCTAACAAGACGAATTGCTTCCATACTTGTATCCGGAAAGCTAGCATTACATGCAAACTCCGAAAGACATTTTACAGCATCCTGGAATGAGTCTATCATAATCGGAAAGTGCTGTGCATATAATTGATCTGGAAACATTGAGCAAGTTTACACACTGGTCTTACACACTACACTACACATACAAATTACGCATCCTTCCAAAATTTTAACAACTCACTGATAATCTTCCCAGTGGTGAGAAATGCTAGTTCAACAATTGCTTCATCACTGTCAGAAGCAGCTAGATGAAAAACACTGAAAATATTTTTCCATCCGGATCTGATGTTATGAGCCTGGGAATTAACCATCTGTGCAATACACCGTACAACCATGTCTCGGATTGATGGCATTCTAGAAACGAATGAGGTAGTACTTCACAACATCCATAACAAAATTAAATTTCTCATAAATAGATAGTGATAAAATGGGAATCAATTGCTTACCGGTTCTTCTTCATAATGTGCTCAAATGGCCTTAGAAAATCTTTCTGGAATCTAAAGTTGGCAAATTCCCCTTTCTCAATAAATTTCATTGATAGTTGTCTAAGTGAATCTACGGCAAAAAAAGCAATATCCTCACTAGGATTGCACCCAACTTTGTTGAAGTGTTCACCAAGAACCTGTCAAATAAATCAGTACTGATTACGATTACAAGTGCGAGGTAGCAACAATGATAGTTTCATAAAAATAATTTAGTCTTCAATACAGAAGAACAACATTTGCAAATGTTTTACCTGCCAGATTCGAGACCATTGAAGACGGATTCTCCCCATGTTGTAATAGGAAATTTCTACAATTTTTTGCAAACTGAACATGCGAGGATGTTGGGGGTGAGCTAACTCATCCAGTGAAACCTAAATTTGAACGGTAATGCAATATAGAGATCAAGATTTTCCTTTCAAACACTTAGTATTTACAAAGAGTTTTGCAGTTACCTGACACAATGCCCTAACAAAGTCAACAATGGCGTCACCATCGAGTTTGATTGAGCCAGTAAATATTCTATCCACAGCAACAACAACACTCTGTGATGAAGTTTCACCAATTGACTCTTTTACATTTGCTGTAAATAATAGGATACAAGTGTAAACAAATTATCAGTGGATAAATATTTGTCACTGTTAAAATTTAATGATTTTCTACAATACAAAATTAGAAAAAAAAAGGAGACCAGTGCATAATGTGAATTTATTTACTTACGATCCAACATTTTACTGAGTAGATCTGGGTGGTGATGATCATAGCTCTTTGTACTTGAGATGAACTGAGGTCGGACACCAGTTCCAACTAACTGAGCCAATTCCAACTGACTGATACATTTAATGATGTCCAACCATGATGTTCCAAGATAATTTCCTGTTAAAATAAAAAATATTTACCAACTAGAGATTGCCATATTATTACTTGGATTGATCAGTTTTCTGACATCAATTACCATCGGTGTGCGCCACAGTGATGAGTGTCTTGATAGTATCAACATTTTTAGCTTTCATCTCTGTGATTGGCGAATTCGCAGTAAGCAGAGTAAATCTTGCCAATGCTTGAACATAAGCATCACGTTCCAGCTAGGACAGGAAGGTACGACACAATGAAAAAAAAAAGTCAGAAGAAAGTTCATACTACCGGTATTAATTAGACAACTATGGGATGCCCATATTATCAATGCAAGCAGTGCCTTTGTTGCTCTAGATGCTTTTGGACTTTCTGTTAGTGGAAAGTGGAGGCTGGATATGCACAGAGGCATCATCCACTTTGGAATAACAGGAAAATAAGGCCGCAACAGCAACAAAGGAAAAGTTTACATAAAAAACATAGCATCTTATAATTGTGTGAAAAAATAATGATGAAAATTATCAAATCTGATATCTTACAGTCATATGAAAAATACAGGTGATACGAATTGCACAACGAATACCATCAAGACATAAATAAGCAATTTCCTGATCATCACAATCCTGAAGACCAACGCTGAATGCCGCCAAAAACGGAGTCCATGCCATCTGGTATGAAAAGAATACAAATTACAGACAATATTAACACCAAGTATTTTAGTTGTTATAATTCAATAAAACAGATAAGTTTACCTTAAACATTGGCCGGACATGTTCAAGATGTTTTGCTGATGTAAATGGAGCTTGAACATGACTGACTGATTCCATTAAGTTTTTAGCAGCAGTCGAGATCACTTCCATTTCCATATTCCAGAGGAAGCGACGTTTCTTTTCACTTGAAATAACTAAAAGTAAGGAGGCATTATAGCTCATGTCAGAAACACAACACTGCAATACTTTAAAAGCCTTGAAAATAAGCAAATTATAGCAGTGTCTCACCTTGTTTGCCTGGTTTACTTGAACCTCCTTTCATCTTTATTTCATGGCCAGCAATTTCATCATAAATTTGAGAAAGATATTCTTGAGGCAAGTCTTTGCTGTCACTTATCCCTTGATTTAAACGAATATATTGTTCTTTAGTCATTTTGCTTTTAACTTGAGGTGAATGTAAGTCAGTGGTTAACATAATGACGGAATATGCAAGGACATACGCAGTGTCAGCACTTGCAAACAGATTATTACTGTGGAGAAATATTAGCAGCGTAAGTAAGATAGATTAGATTAGATTGTTCCTCTGAAGGAGAAGTAAAAACTTACTTGGGGTTACATTCACAATATCTACTCGCAAATTTTTCCATGAGACGATCAATTTTTTGAGCTTCTCCTGGAAGTCTAAAACCTTCCAAGAAATATCGTAGGGCAGCTACTAGGTCACGGTCCTTAAAATTCATTTGATCTATGTATGCATACATCACCTGGAGCAAAAATAAGGATGTTTAATGTACGACACTGACACGAACACAAAATGATAACGAAGAGACTATCAGCTAGATACCTCTTTGCAGAAATCATCACTGTCCCCTAAAAAGTCTCCTATTCCAGTCTTGTCTAGGCGTTCATCAGAATGAAGCCATTCGGCAACTTCTCCTGGAGTAGATCCCAGAAGACGCTGCTCTTGAAGATACTGAACTCCCTTCTTTGGTTTCCGATTGAATATCTGTATACCTGATTCCCATACTTCTTTTTGCTGCTTGAGAACTTCAAATTGTTCTGGAGAGTCAAGAAATTCTCTATTGATGGTATTCATGCTGACACTGGACGTGGCTGAGTTGATACTATTGCTACTACCGCCATGTGTTGACTTCATACTGCCTGTGCTTGAAGGCTGGGGTATAGGCTCAGTCTCGGGATCTTTTCGTTCACCCAATGATGTTTGGGAGTTCGGGTTAACATACAAGTCTTTACTCCACTCCACCATACATTTGAGAATTGAAACAAGACATTCCAAGCCTCTTATGCGCATTGACTTTTCCTGGTTTGGAGTTGCACCTAGCTCCAAAGCTTGACGTCCCTGAGCTATTTTAGACAAATCATTCACAAGCCTTTCAAACAAATTAGCAGCAGATAGATCACAGTCATAATTAACATAAATGTCAACAACGCTTTGTGCATCAGCACATATTCTTGTCAGAGCCTGGATAACCATCCATTTATGTTCAAAAGAAGAGCTAGAAGTTTCTAAAATATTGAGGAAAATTTCTTTGAAGAAAACCTGTAATATTAAGTTAATTTAAGTAATATTCCTCTAAAAACATACTACGAAGCAGCGGGAAAGATAAGTACCTCAATTTGCATTTTTAGGTGCATTTTGAACTTGGAGAGCAGAGCAAGGAAGATTGCAAGTGACAGCTCGAACACCTCAGGCACTGAGGACACTCCATTTTTGGAGAGGGCAACACAAAGATATTGTTTAATAGCTGTAATAAACATTTCATTGGCCCGAAATACTGGCCCAGCATTCTGAAGTATTGACAGAAGCAGATGAAGGGATAAGATCTTGGATCGAAGTTCGTGTGACCTTAAAAACAAAGAAAGGTGTTTTTTTAACACTTGAAAAATAGACATAGTAAGGAGGGGAAGGTGGAAAACTCACTTGGGGTCAGGTTGTTCTGGAACAGGTTTCATTGACAGTTTACACAGGGAGCGAAAAACTAGGAAAGCATCTTTCTGTCTAACATGAGTAAATTTTGGAGTAGTAGTGACAGCATCACTTTCATTGCTAACATCAACACTTTCCTAAAAGCAAATTTTTAATCAGATTTATCTTTAAGGAAACACAAAACTTTTCAGAGAAACAATGCAAATAATACCTTACCTGAGAGGGAACCCTCGGCAAGGGAGTTGTTTGAGGTGCATTAGTATTTGGGGCTATACCAACACTATTAGAAATATTATTTTCAATTTCAGAATTAGCACTGGGCTCTGCCACTGACAAAGCATCACCTGTAGCCTCTTGAGCTCCATGTATAACCCCAGGGGGAACACCATTTGACTCACAGCCTAGTCATAATAGACAAGACAATGTTAGTAAACTGGAAAATTTAAAAGTAAGAGAGGATAGATTCGGTACAACCAACCTTGAACAACTGTTTCTACTATGGAGTTTAATATTCCTATCACCATTTCTTGATTTGAATCACCTCCTTCACCATCACCAGGTGTGCGCTCTTCAACAACACCTGCAGAAGATTTATCAACAGTTGATTCTATCCCATCCTCCTGATTGGTTTCAGTTAAAAGTTGAGGAGGAGAACTCTCACCGATGGTTTCTGGTCTGTCATTCAGTACAGTTGGAGCATGGTTTGATGCAACAGCTATTTGAGTGTCCTCACTTACAGTTTGATTCTCAGAGACAGGAAAAGAGGCAGGAGTAGTTTCTGTTGGGCTAGTGGGAGTGATTTGTACTGGAGCAGGTTCAGTTTCAGGTGCTTTAGTACTACCTTCTGCTTGAGGGCGTTCATTTGAACTATCAGATAACTCTTTTAGTTTGTCAATCTCATCTATCTCCTAAACAAGCAAACAGACGCAGACACACAAACACAAATAAAAACAAGCTCATTTCGAGTAAAATTAAGATTCCTCAAATATATAACTTACAGCCTGACTCTCCATACGACCAAAGATAACATTTAACATTTGGGTCAAGGTGGCTCTTGCTGTAGTCTGGTTGATAAGGTTTTTGCTTGCCAAGTAAATGTTATAACAGGTGCGAACAGCAAGTAAGATAGTTCCTTCATGTACTTCAACATGTTGACTGGTTACAACAGTTAGCAAAGCCTACAACATGTTAAAAATTAGTACAATTTATAATAACTTAGAGCACAACTAGGACAACACCCAGGACAATGTTCACCTTAATTATTTGCAATTGAACACCCTCATCTGTTTGTGGACCACTGAAACAACCACAAATAGTCTCCACTATACGATCAATAAGTTGCTTCCCTGGTGTTGTGGAATCAGGAATATTTCCAGTCAGATGGCCATAGGCAATCAGTTTCTATAGAACAAAAATAGTTAAAGTGAGTAGCAAAGACTTGCAAGTTGTAATTTTTAATTACACCAATATAAAGTAGACCTATGACATTACCTGAAGGCAATCCAAGGCTGTCACAACGATTCGTGAAGATTTGCTTTGACAAGCCAGTTCAAAAGGTAAAAAGTACTTCTCGGCAGAAACATTATTGGCTGCATCTTCTTTGGGCAAGGGTAGAGCTGAAGATGAATTTCCTGCTTCAGCATCTGCATCTTTCAGCTCATTCTTTATTTCCTCTGTAATGGATTATATGTTTGGTTGTAGACTTTTCATTACATGAACTAAATACTAAGCGATTGACAGTCACAGGTGAGTTTGTGAAATGCTTGTGTCGGGACAAAAGAGTATTACACAATCCAGTCTAGATGTGTCAGTATGGTGTCCAAGCAGAAAATGACAGCTAGTTATGTCAGAAAAAGTGAGGTTATGAATCGATGTACAACACTGGTACAAACATACAAGGTATGTCAAAGGAAACAGAACAGCTACATAATGAAAATACTATACTTTCTATAAAATAAAGCAATGATGTACAAAATTGAAGTATTCGTATCAAAAAGTGTAGTAACTGAGGAAGTTGACAAGCATAACCTTCTATTGTCATTTAGCCAGAACTAGAGACATTTTTAGAAAGGAAGATAATCAGTCACACATCAATCAAACAACAGAGAAATTAAAAGAAAAAATACAACACAGCTCACCTAAAGCTATCTCACAGGAACGTTTAAGTTGAGAATGGTACGACCGTTTGATATCTTTGTCGCTCAGGATCTTCTCCAAAGCACGCACAATGAACATCTCTTTAGTCTTAGAACTTCTTTGCATTTTTAGCTAAATGTACAACATTTCCATGTTTCTTAATCTAGAGATCTATTCATGACACATCGAATAAAGCCATAAATGAAAGAGATTAACGCAAATAAGAAGCCATGTTTTTCATGGACGGCACCCTCCACACCGACACCGAAGTCGGGTTCACGACTATTCACAGTCAAGTTCCCCCACCACTACCATCGTGCTTTCTTTGCTAGCCTTATAGCGGTGTATGAAAAATCAGCAGATACGATAAATGGTGAGCTGCTGTGTTTTGACGCGAAGAGTTTAGGTTTTCACACCGATGTTTGTAATTTCCAAACAAATTAAAAGTTGAAAATGGGAGAGTTAGAGCAATTATTGTGATAGGAGAGCTGTGATCGTCAAAACTGAGAAGTTAGAGTGACAGTCGCATCTTCATTTTTATAGCTGAATCTTCAGATTGTTTATTAACCATCACTTCAGCTTAACCTTGTCAGAATATAAACTCCAATTTAACTTTCCTCAAAGACAATTTTCAACTGCAACATGCTTAAAATATAGGAAACCACAGTGAAGTGGGAGTTTATATTGAAGGGAGTTATACTTTTTGTTATCAGTGTCCTCTAAGACAATTTTCAATTTCGTGAAGCGCATTGTATGGATATTTCACGTTAAACATAACTTTTCATTCATACATGAAACTCACATCTTTCAATACACTATACCCTTTGCATTTTACTTTTCCTGGCATGAAAACACATCGTTAAAAACATTGTAATGTATTAAAATCACTAATCGGCAAATTAATTTGGTTCCTCTCCATCTCGCTGAACCAAATACAATGTCAATAAACAGAGAGATTTATTTACTTGGACTTGATTGCTTACTTTCTAGTGATTTAAAAAGCCTAAGGAGCCTCCCCTTAGCCATCTTTTTGATGACTATGAAATGAGACTGTCAATCCTGTTAATTTTAATGTTGAGAGCATTTGTAAAACAAAATACACTGCGCAGAATCCCAGGTTAGATATATCAATACAATTAAAGTCTGAAAAAAAAATCTTTTTAAATGTACAAAATTGCCACAGTTTTATTGTAATACCCCTTCAACAAGGTGATACCAAAAGATAGCGGGTGCATTACATGATGTTGTAATCTATGTCACAAGGGAACCAAAGTATCGTAAAGTCAACAATATGTCACACTGACATGATATTGACAAAATTCTGACCACAAATGTTACAGTCCCAATGTTGTGACTCGGAAATGATAATGTAGTGCGCCGAGTAAAAGTGACAGCATTTAGTTGTCATGCAGCATCATGAAAATTTTAACTTTTATATCAAAACGACATCAGGTAAAATAGATCAAACTAACTTGAGTTTTACACACACTGGGCAAGAGGCTCACAGTCTTCGAGTGGGATACTTGGTTCAGTAGTAAGTTAGTAAGCTGCTCGCAGAACTGAATCAAAATGGTAATTGAAGCATGACAGGGGAATTCCGCAAGTTACAAGGTGGCAATAATATTTTTAACAAATTTGGTACTGCCACCACAATGTCATTTTGACATTTTGAAAGATGTCATAGTCGCTAAATAACGTGTGACTACAATTACATATTCATTTCAAATCTCGCTGCTATGGGAGGGGCTTAATTTGGGCTTTAAGTGTACCTGTATATATTCCTGGCATTCTTGCCATTCTGAACTGGCAAACCAGTTCTTTCAATTGGTACTGTTTTAAAATAAATGATTTACTACCTGTGTAGGAAATTGCCATAGATTCTGCTGCGCTCATTCACATATTCCGCTTACATGGCGCCTTACGGAGGTTGTGGGTAGGCAACCCGCGTAACGACCACTGCCTATTTTTCAGCGCGATTTGCGGTTCAGCATTCAGACTTACGTAAAAACAGCATATAATCGAAAATGATCCAATAATGCTCTAGTTTCATTTTGGAAAATTTCATGATGAAATTCTGAAGCGTTCCCGAGTTTCATCAGAATGTCACTTTTCGTCTTTCAAGTCGAGGGAAGGATGTGCACTGGGCATGGGGGCGGCCCGAGTGCCCGTCAGAAAACGGATTTTGAGAACCACTGGACGGAGTTTGAAGATTTAGGGCTCATTCGAATGGACTTTTGATTTCAAAAACTTTTTGTCTAAG